GAGCAGGGAGCCCGATGCGGGACTCGATCCCGGGACTCCAGGATCATGACCTGAGCCGAAGGCAGTCGCTTAACCAACTGAGCCACCCAGGCGCCCCCAAAAATGAGTAATTTTTAACAAGGGACTTAGCGAAATATTAAATTAGTAACCTTTAATCGCTAATACATTATTTCAAACACTGAGTGATTATCTTTGAAAAATGTACACTATGTTTCCCTGTCGTAAGTGATCCATCAGCATCAAATGTAATTTACTATCATGACGACTCAGATCATGATTAAAAACACCAGTCATTATAAGGTGCTCTGGATGAAGCAACAGATGAGGATGGATGATTACGTTATGGTGAGATGGTAGGGTCAAACAGGTACTGACCCCGACAGCCATCACAAAAGGTTTTCTTTACAAAGTCTGCAATATAATCATGATTGTGATTTTATGTTTCTCATAAGGGTCAGGTGCACAGTCTCCTGGCTATAACCAGAGCTGACTTTCTGCACAATCAAAAGATTTGAATCCGGGCACCTGGGTGGCTTAGTTGGTTAAGTACCTGCCTTTGGTTCAGGTCATGACCCCAGGGTCCCGGGATTGAGCCCTGCTCCACGTGGAGTCTGCTTCTCCCTCCCATCTGCCCCTTCCCCCACTCTCACGTGCTCTCTCTCTAATAAATAAAATCTTAAAAAAAAAAAAAGATTTGAATCAACCAACAGCCAAAGTTTCCTTCTTCAAAGTTACTTCCTAGAAGACTGTCCCTTTCTGTGTCATCATTACGTGTTGCTTAAACCGCAGATACCATTCTGAAAGGTTAGCTAGGATTTCTGCATCGCCAACAGCGGGTCTCATAACAATACCCTGTGGGCTCCTGCTTTTTCTAACGCAAATGTTTGTACCTAAGTACCCATCAGGGAAGAGGATCCTGGCACACAACATTCTAGGGCAGATTTTTCACAGGTAACACATTTTTCCCTTTGAAAAATGATGAGCTTATGCTCTGCAAGAAATATTTGTGACATCTTTGGAAGCTTTAAACTATCATATTTCTAGGTACCACACGCTGTATGGTGTGTGAGCACACGCATAGGCATTCAAGCACCCTGAAAGGTTCCTTCTTCTGCTTGAACCCAGAGGGAACTTCCTTCATGGCACTTACTAGGAGTAGGGAGGAATTGGCAGGAAACCCTAAGAAGGCCACTTACACCACTGCCAAAACTATCTGCGGAATAGACTGTACCAGAATAAGACTCAGAGGAGGTATGCAGCCTCCTGACCAGCACACTGCTCAGTCAGCTCTTTCTTGAAATGCCCAAATAGCATTTCAAGTGTGCAGAACATCCTAAAGAAAACCCAGCCTTCAGAAATCGATCAGTTTGATCAACTGGACTTGCTCATACAAATCTTGTCTTTTCAATTAAATTTGGCCTAGAGACACAGTCACAAGGGAAGCCTGGGAAAAGGTCTAATTTATCCTTTTTTTTTTCTCCCAAATAATTCACAGTGGCTGTTCTTACAGACTGATCAGATACTCTAATAAAGTTTTATGCACTTGTGATACTAGTCAGCTTCCAACGAAGCAGAACATGCATAAGGAAAAAAATCTGCTCACTCCTCTTTCTGAGCCCCACGATCATAGATTGAGATAAACAGCAGGTGGCTGGGTACAAGATACTGCCAGGGCCCTGCTCAAATTCTCATCCTTTGGGTTCAGTGAACTTTCAGAGGCCGGCTTTGGCAGTTCTTTTCTTCAAGATTTGCTTTGAGCACAGTGGCAGCTGGAAAAGCCACAGAATTCATGTTCTCTGGGAGCAGCACCACTCAGTGACAGAGAAAAGCTGGTGGTAAACACCCTAAATGTCTCCCCGCTGCCCCACGTGGGAGAATGGTAAGGCACAGTCCTACAGAGTTTCCCAGAATTCCCCAAGAGAAAAGCTCTAGTTATTCATGGTGGTAACTCACTTGTCAACACACCCTTCCCGGATTCCGTCTCCACCATGTCTCGTGTGGACTCACTCCCCAAATAAACCTTTAAGCCCTTTCTCAAGGTCTACTGCAAGGACCAAACAAACATAAGCTTCTTCATTAACACATCCTTTTCCTGACCCTTTGCAGGTCTTCATCAGATCTCTAAATATGCACTGATTTATCTTGATTTTTGTCCACTGAACTTTTCTGAAGGAAATCTTTTTTTAATTTAAATTCAATTAATTAACATATAGTATATTATTAATTTCAGAGGTAGAGGTCAGTGATTCATCAGTTGTATATAACACCTAGTGCTCATCATATCACGTGCCCTCCTTAATGCCCATCACCCAGTTAACCCCATTCCCCTACCCACCACCCCTCCAGCAACCCTCTGTTTGTTTCCTATAGTTAAGAGTCTATGGGTTTGTCTTCCTCTCTGATTACATCTTGTTTTATTTTTCCCTCCCTTCCTCTATGCTCCTCTATTTTGTTTCTTATATTCCACAAATGAGTGAAATCAGATGATAATTATATTTCTCTAATTTCACTTAGCATGATACCCTCTAGTTCCATCCATGTCATTGCAAAAGGCAAGATTTCATTCTTTTTGATGGCTACGTAATATCCCTACACACACACACACACTGCACCTTCTTTATCCATTCATCTGTCAGTGGACATCCAGGCTCTTTCCATCTTCTCCCATTCTGTAGGTTGTCTTCTGGTTTTGTCGACTGTTTCCTTTGCTATGCAAAAACTTTTTAACTGAAGGAAATCTAAAGCTCATAGGGCCCCCTCACTCTGCTCTGCTGCTCATATACAGACACAGAGACTAGCAATGCAGCTGGAAATGGACTAGCTAAGGAGAGCATGTTCAGCAGTCTCAGAGAGAGATTAAGATGATGCATTTGTGAGCACTCAGGAAACAATAACAGACGACTGAAATACAATTATGCATGTGTGTATATGATATGATCTTATGCATATCGTTATTGTTACTGTCTCTAAAAACTAAGCAACATTCTACTTCCTCTAGGAGAAAAAGCAGTTTATTGAAAGCATAAACGTAACCACAGCAGAGAAAATTTGTTTAGTGAAAAATATTTCAGATATGTACAAAGTAGGAGGCTACAAGTTACAGTGAACATACCTCAAGCCTGATGTAAGATTATAGGCTGGGGTTTCATCTCTGCTATAACAATTCTAGCATCTCCAATCAGTCATTTGAATGCCCTATGCCTCAATTTCCTTTCCTCTAAAGTGACATGTCAGGTTCGGTGTTCTCCAAGGGTCCTTCCTACTCCTGACACATTCCCTTTGCATTCTGAGAGCATGGAGCATCTACTTGACATAGAAGTACCTGTGACCAACAGCTGGTTTGGACAAAGATCATAGCAAATAGCAATTTGTATCTGGGGGAACTGTGCCTATAACCAACTCAACTGAAGACTCTAGACAGCGGACTCTACTTGGCTGAGTTTAAAGGATGCTCCACTCTGTTCTTTCCTTCTCTCTCTCCTCTTCTACTCTGAGCACTGTGTGTGTATCTTAAGTGATTCATCTAACATTAACACTGTTCTGAAGGTAGCTCTGCCCCTCTCTCTGGAGATTCCCTGTGGCCAGAAAAGGGGATCAGCATACTTTTTTGTATCTACTGGAGATTGCCAACAATTCTGGATACTTTGACCCAAGAATTTATCCATTTTTGCAATCTTGCCATCATTTGTTAGCACTAACTTGACCACTTCCTCCTAGCACTTATTCAGTTTTCTCTTTATTCAAGATATTCTGTATTGATCCACAGTCATCCCATTCGTGTTGTGATACCCTAAAAACCCTCATCTTATGATCCTTGTGCCTTTTTTAGTTCAACAATCTCCTTTATATCTGCCATCCAACAATGCAGCAATGCCTTAAGACTCAATGTGTGACTCAAATTTCTCCTCCTAAATCTTAAACACTAAAATTTCACTCTTTGACTTAAAATTTCCCCCTTTGACCACAACCATACGTTCTTCTATTCATTCAGTTCCAACAAACCTATCCTTGAATGAGTCTTTCTCATGCAAAGTCATGAAATTATATCTGTACTGATAGGCATTTTCTTAAGTGAATTCAACCATTCATTCATACATTCATTTATTCATCCATTCAATAAATACTGTAAGCACCTACTAGGTGCCAGATGATATGGTAACCCCAAAGATGAATGAGATCATGCCCCTTGCTTCAAGAAGTTCATTGCTAGTGTAGGACATTGAGAGGAAAAATAAGTAACACAAAGGGGCATCAGTGGTATGGAAGGGCAACTAATGAGATACTGTGCAAAGAGAGGGAGGAGCAATCCGTTTCAGCTTGGGGTGCCGCTGATAGACAAGCTCAGGAAGGCCCTGAGGTTATCAATTTTAAGTTTCCATAACACCAAAATAAGAATAACATACTTGTTAGAGAGAAAGATATCGGGTTCATTGCCTGTAACTATTTTACTATGATAGAGACTATTAATATTAATATCTATGCGATCACTGTAAAATATTGTGCTGTATGTTTTGGAAAAAAAATCAGATTTTAGGCTATTATTATCCAAATCTTTTGAACACAAGTTAAAAGTAGAAGTTTCAAACCATTTTTTTTTTGGTTTATATAATACATTTGGAGTAACTGATTGAAAAAGAATGGGAGTTCTGACTTTTTAGATTTAGGGACTTCATTTTTTCTAATGTAAATGAACTGTAAAATCGCTTTTCAGAAATAATAAAATACCAATGATTTGAACAATAAGTAAAAATTTTAACCTATTAAAAGGAAAACATTTAAATGGCACTGATGCTCAGAATTTGTTTTTATCTTAACATAAAATAGAAGAAAACAGGAATAATGTGTAAGGACAAGGAGATAACCAGAAAACATACCAGAAGAAGCTTCCAGTCTTTCCAATCGGCTGATCAACCAGTCAAGGGAGCCAGAAAATTGAGCACAGTTTTTACGATTTCCTCTAATTAGAGCCGCTGCAAAAGAAAAAAGCAGACATCACAGTTATGTCACTCTCCAATTTAAAATGCAAGGTAAGCTGGTAGTAAGCCCTCAAATGCTGGAACAAAAACAAAATACTTTGACTTTATATCTGAGACATACACAAATATATAGATACATCTACATATACAAAATTGAGATTTTTTAAAATTTAAATTATATTAACATATAGTGTATTATTAGTTTCAGAGGCAGAGGTCAGTGATTCATCAGTCTTATATAATATTCAGTGCTCATTACCTCATGTGCCCTCCTTAATGTCTACCACCAAGTTACCCCATCCCCCCACCCCCCTCCCCTCCAGCAACTCTCACTTTGTTTCCTATGATTAAGAGTCTATTATGGTTTGTCTCCCTCTCTGGTTTCATCTTGCTTTATTTTTTCCTCTCTTCCCCTATGATCCTCTGCTTTGTTTCTTAAATTCCACATATGAGTGAAATCATCTGATATTTGTCTTTCTCTGACTGACTTACTTCACTTAGCAGAATACCCTCTAGTTCCATCTACACTGTAGCAAATGGCAAGATTTCATTCTTTTTGATGGCTGAGTAGTATTCCTCTGTGTGTATATGTGTGTGTGTGTGTGTACACACATACATACCACATCTTCTTTATCCATTCATCTGTCAATGGACATCTGGGCTCTTTCCATAGTTTGGCTATTGTGGACATTGCTGCTATAAACATCAGGGTACACATGCCCCTTCGGATCCCTACATTTGTATCTTTGGGGTAAATACCCAGTAGCACAATTGCTGGGTCATAGGGTAGCTCTATTTTCAACTTTTTGAGGAACCATACTGTCTTCCAGAGTGGCTGCACCAGCTTGCATTCCCACCAACAGTGTAGGAAGGTTCCCCTTTCTCCACATCCTCGCCAACATCTTTCATTTCCTGACTTGTTAATTTTAGCCATTCTGACTGGTATGAGGTGGTACTGAGATTTTTTTTTTTAAAGGATATTTATTAATAGGGACTGGAAAACCACACAGCTCATTAGAAGGAATATATTTTGAGAAAGTAACATTTCATATTGGGAGGAAATGATAAAGGATAATGGAAAAGCCAGTGTCCTGGGAGTCTCCTCACTTGGGTTCTGATACTCACTGCTTTTAATTAGCCGTAAGACTAAATTATTTCATTTCCCTAGAGCTCAACTTTCTCACATCTATAATGAAGAAGTTAAGAGCACATCAGTTTTCCTGAAAATGTAGCACAAAATACCAGGAGATATAGTTAGTAACTATAACAGGCACACAGAGAGATAGAATTAACTGATACCTGGAAAAAAGGGTGGAAGGGCAGATAGCTAATAAGTTTGAAAACCTTTTGTTTTCCTCCTGTATCTCTACTTCCCTTTAAAGTTCACAAGGCACTTGAAGGACTCAGAACTCCTATAGTCAAGTCACCTGTTCTAACATTGCTTCACTTAGTGTTTCAGACACATCTTTGATGAAAGAAACCATCTTATATGAAATTCCTACACAACCTTTATGATTTCCTTCAATCCAATTTACATAATCTATTTAAAACTTTTAATGTTTCACAATTACGTGATTCTTTCAAAGCAAATCTGGTAAATATTTTATGAAAATTCTACTCTTCCGCCCATGAGATTGTTCCGAAACAGTATGACTGTTTACAAAGGGTTGGTGAGATGTTGACATAGTAGGATATTTAATGGGAAAAAGATGTTGCCATAAGAAAACAATCACTATTTAAAATATGGTAGTGCTAGGAAGCAGTGTGAAGGACCTTAAATTTCAGGGCACTGCCTGTTTATCTCCGTGGTAAGAACAAGATGGAGGAGTCCTTGTAGTAACAGAGTGCAATTAATCTTAAAGACTTTATCTATTTATTTATTTTGCCTGAAGATTAAACAATGATGCACTTAATTACTTGGACTCCCTGGGACCAGAGCCCCAGCAAGAACTAGCAACCAGCTACACACACACACACACACACACACACGACAAGTGCCAGGGACAAGTGTCAAGAGTGAGATGTAGAATGAGAAGGAGTCCTCTGTGCTCTCTGGAGTTCTAATTTTAATCCATAAGAATATCTGTTCATGACTTACAACAGCCATTGAGGGATAGTATATAATAAAGCTTTTCAATCTTTACAGAGTCTCATTTGTTTAAACTTTAACTCACTCTTTTAATTTTACCTCTGAGTTTTCAAATGAAACTAGAAATTAGTAAGAAAAGTAGAAACAAAGATAAAGTCCAAGCACTTAATAATTTAAACTCTCTCGTTAATAATTTTTGAGTCAGTAGGGAATCAATACCACAATTACAGACTATCCGGTAAATAGCAAAAATAGAAATGTTACCTAATACAATCAGTGGTAGATGGTCAAAACTGTACTCAGAGGAAAATTAAACACTTTCTTTCACTGCTAACCAACCAGGTGAAAAGTGTTACTTAAACATCCTTTCAATATTTGAGAAATAACATCACATAAATATAAGTAAGATAGGAAAAGAAAAAACATTAGAAATAGAAAAAATGATCTATGTAAAAAATTAAAATGGTAGGATTGATCAAGAGAGTCAAGATTTTTTTTTTAATATATGCTAAATACCAACTGCTCTAATCATGAAGGAAAAAGACAAATCAAGAATAAACAGGAATTATAAACACAGCCACTACATAGATCTCTGTACTAGAATTTTTAAACATATAGGAAAAAGAATGGTTTCCAATTACGCATATATATACATTTTTTTTTCAACAAAACTAACCCAAAGGAGAAAAATCTAAAGGGAAAAATCTAAATAGAAAAATAAACCATGATTAATATTGAGTAGTCAAAGACCAAAAACTTTTTTTCTATACTCAAGAAGTAAGTTATTTCTAAACTATTTCAAAGTAAAGAAACTAAGGAAACCTCCCTAATTATTTTACGAAGACAGTATAACTTTGACATCGATGCCTAACAAAGTATGCATATGAGAAAACTAGAGGGAACTCTTACTTACGAATATCAGTCCAAAAATCTTATACAAGGATGGTATTTACAAATGATATTCAGCGATACATTAGCAACATTAACTCAAGTAGGGGTTTGTTCCTCCAACGAGACAGAAATGAAGTAGGAAATCTGTTAATAAGTCACAGACAAAATGTGATGATCTTAACAGACTCTGACAAAATATATATTTCTAATGAAAAAAAAATTCAGCTCTGTAAAAAAAAAAATGCCTCCTGAACCTTCTCCATGTGTGTGTGTATATATATATGTCCAGGTGCAGAGCATGCTTTGCAGATAAATGGAGTGTGTAAAACATTACAATTCAGCACGGTAGTTAAGAAGAAATCAGTTAAGTGAGTTTCTAAAGTAATTGAAAACTACACAGAGAATTACAGGGAAGTTCATCACAATACAGCTTATAATAGCAAAATACTGGGAACAGCCTGAGTGTGGGCTAAGTCAATGGCACATCCCTTTAGTAGGCTAGTATACATCCACTAAAACCTGGTGAAGGTTCATCGTTCACTGCCAAGAAGAGATGCCCACAATATATAAGACCATGCAAACAAACGCTATAAAGGAATATCGATCATATGATCCCATTTTTGTGAAGTAAATATATATATATATATTCAATATAAGTATATGCATATCATGGAAAAATCGTGTTTTTTCAGAATATTTCTTGGAGAATGAGAACTGCCTCTGGAAACTATATCCTGATAAGTCCCTGGGACAGAAGCACAGACCCTAAAGGACACTGATAAGGGTGGGACTGCTTTCCCAGTTCAACAGGGACATGGTCTTATTTTAAAATAGGAAGGAAGATGAATAAAGCCAGGGGGGAAAAAGGATCATGCTCTGTGATGTGTTCCTTCAGAAAGACCCCTGAAGCCATAATAACTTCCATTAAAGAAAAAAATCACAAATGCTCAATAAGAATGGCAGTTTGTTTTGTATGCACCTGTAAGGAGGTGAAGTTCTGTGGCCGAGATATTATGTAACCTCAGACAGAGGATACCGAAGAAGCATGAAATGGGAAACACTGTGTCCAAATAATCCCCCAAAATGTAAAGACATCAAAGAGGAGCCTTGAGCCTGTCTCAGTCCCTGAAATTGGGCAGGGACAATTGGACAGAGCTAACTAAGCCTTCAGGAGAGGAGCGTTCCAACTGGTGTCTTAGTGCAGGATTTACATGGGTGTGAACACACGATGCTTCAGTACATGTATGCATGTGGGTGTGTGAAGTGTTTCATATGTGTATTATGTCATATAGATTCAAAGAAATATTTTTAAAAGGTCATACATTAACATGGGTGGTTACATTTTAAACATGGTTTCCACCTTTTTTTAAGTATCTAATTTTTATAATGAAGTATTAATTTTAAAATCAAATAATACAATACAAAGTTACCTTCTTTTCAAGAAGAAAAGGTAAAACAACATCACTGATACAACTCAATGTCTCAAGAGCGCCACTCTCAAGACCAAACCACAATGGCAACTTTAATCTCATGGTTCTTCAAGGTAAAGATGCAGAAACAAACTCAAGACAAACGTCCTTCCTCATGCAGGACAAGCATGCTAAACCCCTTCAAATCCTCTTTCCTTGTTGGCTAATGGGTCTTAAAGACGGTCAAGACCTTTCATCTTCCATACATCTCTATTTTTCCTTATTTAAGAAATATGAAGGTAGGGGGCGCCCGGCTGGCTCAGTGGGTGGAATGTGCGACTCCTGATCTCGGGGTTGTGGGTTGGAGCCCCATGCTGGGTATACAGAGTGCTTAAAAATAAAAATCTTTAAAAAAATGAATGTAAATGCATCGGGCACCACAGTTGACACTTGTGAGTATGAGCTTGAATAACGCGTGAATATAATACAATGGTTGAGGGTCTTCCTCTAGCATATTGTAAGTTCTTTTATATTTGACACTCTTATTACACATCTGTACCTTGCCTGAAATTTGGAAGGTATGTTATTTCTTAATATAGTGAATG